TGGAGTGCAAGTGCTGAAGCAGGGCGAGCATCTCATTGTGCAAGACACACACACACACACACACACACACATACACACACACACACACACACACACACATATTAAATAAATAATTAAATATAAAAAAACTCAGGATGTGGAATGAACTCAAGTTTTATAAAAATAAATAAGTTATTCTTTTGTATAGTGAAAACAAATCTAGAAAGTTAGAAATATTACTTAGCTATTTATGGAAATTTTGTCTTTCATTGCATTTGTACTTTATTTTTTATAATGGGAACGTGTTGACTTTTAAATCAGAAACAAGAGAAGATGTCCATCTTCATGCTGGTCTTCCTTGTCTCGTCTGGTCCTGTGATGACCCTGTAAGGTGTGTAAAGCAGGCGGAGCTAATGTTCAAAGGAGATCACGGACTCAGGAAGTCACCTGATCAAACAGTGTGTGTGACCCACACACTCCGCTGCAGTATGCTCCAGCTCTGAATGAAACGTCTGACAGTTGCTGCAGCCAATCAGTGACAGGCATGACGGACGCATCCTTACCTGGGAAACTGCATCAGACTCCTGCAGTTAGACCTCAAGAGTGATGGGGAAGCTGGGGAAGAAACCAAGAGAAAATGGCAAAGCGGACGGGTGACAATGCCGTGTCCATACACTGGACAGATCCAGAGGGCGTGGACGTCAACCCCACTACAGTTCTGTGGAGTTCGTCCCATTCCCTGCACTGTGTTACTCCGTCTGTGAAACTGTGGCTTCCAGGCTGTGCCTTGCCCTGAGGGACTTCACTTCATTAAACAGCAATTGGCTCCATTCAGAGTGGAAATGCTGAAGCAGGGCGAGCATCTCATTGTGCAAGCCAGCAACCACCCCACCCCCAACAGACCACAGGGCATACTATTGTGGTGATATATTGTACACCCCAATATATTGTGTAACTTAATAGTGTACCCTAATAAACTTATCTGGGGATCAGAGAACAGAACAGCCACTAGATTAGACATAGAGGCCAGACAGTGGTAGCACACACCCTTAATCCTATCACTTGGGAGGTAGAGATCCGTCTGGATCTCTGTGAATTCAAGGCCACGCTGGAAACAGGGCCAGACGTGGTGGTACACACCTTTAATCCCAGCACTTCAGATCTCATGTCTTTGCTTGGGAAGGACACACACCTTTAATCCCAGGAAGTGATGGCAAGAAGCAGAAAGATATATAAGGTGTGAGGACTAGGAACTAGAACCTTTTAATCAGTTCAACTGAGACCCTCAGGGGTGAGGACTCAGAGGCTTTCAGTCTGAGGATTCGTGGAAACAGGATTGGCTGTGGAGTTGGTAAGGTGAGGTTGGCTGTGGATTGTTCTGTCTCTCTGATCTTTCAGAATTCACCCCAATACCTGGCTCTGGGTTGTTGTTGTTGTTGTTGTTGTTTTATAAGAACATTTAATAATTCATCTTACATACTATTCTTGCTCGCCAAGAGGTGTCATCTAGGGGTTGGGGATTTAGCTCAGTGGTAGAGCACTTACCTAGCAAGTGCAAGGCCCTGGGTTCGATCCTCAGCTCAAAAAAAAAAAAAAAAAGAGGTGTCATCTATGAACTTATCAAAGTAAACTGGAATACATGAACACATGGGCACACCAAAATCCTATCAGAAAAACCCAGCTGGTGAACTTACTGCACACATCAGCTATAACCTCTCTCCTGGACTATAGAAGAAGGAACAGCCCAAGACTGAGGCGCAGGGGTGCACTGACTCACCACCTGCTCACTCATCATGAGCCTGCTTCAGGAAAATTGCCATAGTGATAGAATTCTGGCTTAGCCCATGTGTCTTAGTTAGGGTTTCTATTGCTGTGAAGAGACACCACCACCGCAGCAACTCCTATAAAGGAAAACATTTACCTGGGCTGGCTTACAGTTGAGAGGTTCAGTCCATTATCATCATGGGACATGGCAGCATGCAGGAAGGCACTGTGCTGGAGAAGGAGCTGAGAGTTCTACATCTTGATCCATGGGCAACAGGAAGTGAACTATGTCACTGGGCATAGCTTGAGCACAAGAAACCTCAAAGCTCACCAGCAAAGTGACACACTTCCTCCAACAAGGTCATGCCTACTCCAACAAAGCCATACCTCTTAATAGTGTCACTCCCTTTGGAGGCCATTTTCTTTCAAACCACCACACCATGCAAAGCCTTGGGTTTAAAGCTCAGCACCCACCCAAATCTGTCTCAGTCTCCAGGCTCCAATGCAGGACAATACCTACTGCCTTTAGCACTGTCTACTTCAAACTGACCCTCAGACTGCCCGCCTACCATCCAGACTTGCACTTGACAACCACATCTGCCTTGTAGCCTCATAAAAGCTCTTATCTACTTCCCTACAGGACTCTTCTGACCAGTGAACATCGGCATTGGCTCTCCGTCCCAGCCTCTAGTGTAGCCTCTCTGAACTCTCTGAACTCTGTAGTCCATTTATCCCTTTCTTAGCCACTGTAACACGCATGCACGAGCACACACACACACACACACACCACACACACATCACATACACACACCACACACATACCACACACCACACACACCACACACACACACACCACACACACACACACCACACACCACACACCACACACACCACACACACCACACACACCACACACCACACACACACATACACACACACACACACACACACACACACACAGAGCGTGTTAAAGACATAAATGTAAAACATATATAAATGTAAAACACAGACACACACACACACACACGCACGCACATATATATATGTATCATTATAATAGGGCTGGAGACTGCTCAGTGGTGTGGATAAGGCACTTCCTGCAGCCTCCCACGCCCACATGGTGGAAGGAGAAAACTGATCCCTGCAAGTTGTTCTTTGACCTCCTCCACCCACATGCCATGGCACATGGCACCCCTCCACGCACACAAATGCACAATAAATAAATAAATGTCGTAAGAAAACATTATACTACAAGAAGCTGTGGTTGCCAATGGCCATGTCATCACAGGCAGCAAAGCAGAGGCGGATCATAAACACATATCCAGAAACATAACACAGTTGCTTTTCTCAGTGCTTTGGGAGAAAGCCCAGCAACGGCAACTTAAGGAAGGAAGGTTTGTTTGGGCTCACAGATTACAGGTATAGTCTGTCATGGCGGGGAAAGCATGGCATGGAACATACGGCAGCTGCTCACACCGCGTTTGCCAGCTTTCCCTGTCATTCAGTCCATGAGTCCAGCCTGCAATGAAGCCACCACACATCAAAGTGGGTTTTCCCTCCTCCGTTAAGCCTCTCAGGAAATCGCTTCATAGGCACACCCACAGGTGTGTTTCCATGGTGATTCTAAACCCAGGCCAGTCCATAACGAAGATGAACCATCACGGCTCTGCCTCTGTCGTCATGACAGCGAGTCTTACCACTTTAAGTCACAACACTCCACTCGACCCCTAAAAATCTCGTTTTCATCTCATAATGCAAAATGTAAAATGTATTTAGTTCATGTCCTGGTTTTGATTTCTGCTGCTTTAAAAGTCGTCATCCTTAAAAATTCCAACTCTTGGGGGAAAATATAACTCTGTGTGAAATGGTTAGAATTAGCTAGAAGAGCCAAAGGGGGCGAGAAAGCAGATTAATGAACTCTTCTGTGTGTCAGGATCTAAGACGGCCCAGGCATCTAGAGAAGAATGTGACAAAGATTCTACATCAGACCAGGGTGACCAGATGATAGTGCGTGAGCTTGGGACAGAGCTGGGTTCCCAGGCACCCCTCACCTCCTATAGGTCAGTGTTCAAGACACCCGACCTATGTGGCTGGTCCTGCCACCTCAAAGAAATTTTTAAAAACTACTTTTCATGTCTATTGGCACAATTTGAAGAAATATGGATAGCCCTGCTGCGGTGCCGGGCATGAAGCGGGTATTACAGTTGCTAGTGTTTCAAAGGCAAACTCTTGAGGCCTGGGGAATGCTGAAGTAGAAAGGTTTATTGAGCTGTTACAAACAGAAGCCAGAAAAGGACAAGGTCCCAGGACACATGTCACAACCGCTGCAGCCGGGCCAGAGAGTGGTCGGCTAGATGATGACATGTCTCTCCTGCTTATCAAAACCCGGAGAAGGAAAACCTAAGTCTTTGACCTTAAGCTTAATAAACTATATACCAGTTTATTAATAAACTGAACACCAGAGGATCAGATAAGAGAAGGCAGAGAGTCTGGAGGCCAGATGGCAGCTCCTAAAGAGACCCACTAGCTGCTCTTGTGCCAACGGGGGTGTTTTATCAATAGTATTAAATGGGGCCAGAGAGAAGGCTCAAGGCAGGCTGTTCTTGCAGAGGACACAACCTCCTGGAGCTCCAGCAAACAAAAGTGATGTCATCAGGGAGTGGAGAGATGGCTGGGCAGCGGGGAAGTAAGGAGAGAAAGGCAGGTCCCCGGGGCCATGTGGCCATTCTGCTCCACACCAGTGGGCGATCTCAGGAAATGTGGGTGGACAGTGCCTAAGGAATGACACCTAAGGTAGGCCTCTGACTTCCACACATGTACACACACAACCACAGACACTTGCTACACACACACACACACACACACACTTTAATTACTGAATTAATTAATTAAAATATGATTTTTCAGTTTTAAACACATACATGGAGACTGTGATTGTTGACCTTGGTTGTCAACTTGACTAGATCTGAAATCAACTAAAAGGCAAGCCACTGGGCACTCCCATGAGAGATTTTCTTGGTCATGTTATTTGCAGTGGGAAGACTCATCCCAAATGTGGGCTGTACCTTCCAGCGACAGCCCAGATAAAAGATGGAAACGGGAAGTTTTGCTTTTACCCACTTGCCTTCACGCTCACTGGCAAGTTCATCTGCTCTGTTGTTGCTGATGCTGCACGCCTTAGCTGATATTAAAACCCAACTTCAGGCTTCCAATGTAGCCTGAAGACGAGCAGCTCTCCAGGAATCCTCAGGGCCTTTAGTGCCAGATTGGGACTGCAGAGACACCCAACCTCATGATGTGAGCAACTACAGGTTTCTTGGCTTCTCCTGTATGAGACAACCATTGTTGGACTACCCGGATATGTAAGCCAATCTAATTAATCCCCCTTTAACAGATATTCATTCTGTTGGTTCTGTTCTCCTGGAGAAAACGGACTAATCCCCATACATATATAATCTATACACAGTATACATGTGCAGATATATACATACATATATGTGTATATCTCTCTGTGTGTATATATCTATATATAAAATTCTGGATGCCTGTTCTTATTTTTGCATGATTCACAAGTTAGTAGTTTTAGACTATTAAACTTTTTTAATCTGAAGAAGAAAATCCCATGGTGTGAAATGTGCATGTAATTAAAATTTATATCCATAAATGTTTTATTGACACACAGCCTCACACATTATTCATTAAAATCTATCTAGGGTTGTTTTCTTGTTCTGATGGGGGAGCCGAGCTGTCGCAGTGGACGTGACGTGATTGCAAAGCCTCAGTAGTTATTCCCTGGCTTTCTGTAAGTCCGGCAAACCCCCAACTTAAAGAGAAAGTCACCCTTGCCTTTGAAGTTTGCCTTCCCCGTCGCCCCTCTGTGCCTCTCGAGTTCCTTCCCACAAAGAGGTCCTTGCCGGGTCCTGTCACCTTGCTTCTTGGTCCTACTATCTTTCTCCTAAACAAGTCCTTGCTCCATTTTGCCCATTTCCAACCTGTAGAGAAAACCCTGCTGGCTTGTCTCTCAGGCTGTGGTTTCCTTTCCTCGCCCAACAGTATTTTTGAAATTCAGCAGCAGCTGGAGCTCCTGCATTCCCTGTCATGGCAGAATGGCATCATGTTGCATTGAGCAAGCCACAGCCTCCTTCTTCCTCCGCCCTCAGGCTGATGGCTCTCCACACGTCTGCAGATCTTCTCTGTGAACCATCTTTCCCGGGTCTCCTGGTGCTTTTGTGCAAGAGTGTGTCCAAGTCATTTGCAACTTCATCTGGGTCACACCAGCTTATTTCAGAAGTGGTTGTCCCGGTCTACACTCACCTCCCATACAAAAGCGACACCATTGTGCCCAACATTAGACAGCTTCAGACTTCAGTTTTTGCCAATTTGATGGGTGTGAGTAACACCCCATTGTGATAAGATTCTGAATCTTATCAATTACTAAATTAATTTTTACTAAAAAAGATTAAATTACTAAAAAATTACTTTAAATGGGTTTTTAAAAAGATGAGTATATCTTTATGTGTCCGTTGGCCATTCATGCTGCTTCTACAAAATTCCTCTTTGTTTCCCATACATATTTTTCTGTATGGGTTGTTTATCTTCTACTACTTTACCACCCCCCACCCCACCGTGTGTGTGTGTGTGTGTGTGTGTGTGTGTGTGTGTGTGTGTCTGTCTGTCTGTCTGTCTGTCTGTGTCGGTCTGTCTGTGTCTGTTTCTCTCTGTCTCTGTGTGTGTCTGTCTGTCTCTCTCTGTGTATGTATGTCTGTCTGACTCTCTCTCTCTGTCTCTCTCTGTGTGTGTATGTCTGTCTCTCTCTCTCTGTCTTTGTGTGTGTGTGTGTGTGTGTGTGTGTGTGTCTGTCTGTCTGTCTGTCTGTGTCTGTCTGTGTCTGTTTCTCTCTGTCTCTGTGTGTGTGTGTCTGTCTGTCTCTCTCTCTCTGTGTATGTCTGTCTGTCTGACTCTCTCTGTCTCTCTCTCTGTATGTGTATGTCTGTCTTTCTCTCTCTGTCTTTGTGTGTGTGTGTGTATGTCTGTCTGTCTGACTCTCTCTGTGTATGTCTGTCTCTCTCTGTCTTTGTGTCTGTCTGTCTGTGTGTGTCTGTTTTTCTCTGCCTCTGTGTGTATGTGTGTCTGTCTGTCTCTCTCTCTCTGTCTCTGTGTGTGTGTATGTGTGTGTGTCTCTGTCTCTCTGTGTGTGTCTCTGTGTGTGTGTGTCTGTCTCTGTGTGTGTGTGTCTGTGTGTGTGTGTCTGTATCTGTGTGTGTGTCTCTGTGTGTGTGTCTGTCTGTCTATCTCTGTGTGTATGTGTCTGTCTGTCTCTGTGCGTGTATATATGTGTATCTGTCTCTCTCTGTCTTGTGTGTGTCTGTCTGTCTGTGTCTCTCTCTCTGTCTCATGTGTGTGTCTGTCTCTCTGTGTATGTGTGTGTGTGTGTGTCTGTCTCTGTGTGTGTCTGTCTCTGTGTGTGTGTGTGTCTGTCTCTCTCTGTGTATGTGTGTGTGTCTGTCTGCCTGTCTGTCTGTCTCTGTGTATGTGTGTGTGTCTGTCTGTGTATGTGTGTGTGTGTGTGTGTGTGTGTGTGTGTGTGTGTGTGTGTGTACATGCAGGTACACATGACTGTATATGTTCATTTGTGTAAATGCTTCCATCTCTCTCCTAATTTTTTGAGTCGGGGCCTCTCACTGGACCTGGACCTCATCAGTCCCAGCAGACTGGCTGGCCAGACAGGACCCTCCTGGGCTGAGGTTACAGACACATGCGCTATGCCTAGCTTTGTGTGTGTGTGCTGGGAACCACACTCTCCCTCCTCTTTTCCGTTCCTATGTACACTCCATGTGCTCTGGGTTTGAGTTATTTGTCAGTTGAAAATGTCTTCTCTGAAATTGTCTTTTTGAGCTCTAATATGGAATCTTTTCATATGTATATTAAGGTGGTAATGTCAATAGAGTAAAATATATTTACCACTTCTTTCACACCATGAATTTTAATGGGGATAATAGTTTTTTTCAACTAACTCCTGATGCAGCTCTTCTGTTTGGAAGGTGGTTCTGCTTCCTGAAGTCTACATCCCATCCTAGCTAAACCACAAAACAGGAAAAAAAAAAAAAAAAAGGTAAGTGTGGGGAAGCCCTTCTAGGAGAGGGATGGGAGAGGAGGGAGCCAAAAGATGGCCAGAGCCTCTAGGGGACTGAGGGAGGTCCTATGCTACCTTCACAGCAGAGCCATTACAGTACAGCACGGAATATAGAGGCCGGGCTGCTAGGGCCTGAGACACTCCTCTGCACCTGGAGCCAAAATTCTGCCACCTCCATGGGACTGATCACCCATCATATGGGGCTTGGGGTCTGTTGATATTCCTGAGTAGGAGGGTCATTTGGTCCCTCACCTGAGAATCCAGCAACCCCCCTCAGTCATTTGTATGTAATCCTTCCCTAACCCCTTGTGGCCTAGGGCACTCAGGGAGCAGCTAGCCCAGGCTCAGGAAGACTGCAGCTCACGTGACTCATGGTCTATCTGTTGACGTGATAAGGACCCTCTTATGCCAGTTGAGCCCAGGTTGGCCTTTGCTGGCTTCACAGACCTTCTGCTTTCCATAGTCTCTATCCAGGCCTAATCTAGGCTGTCCACCCCAGGCTCCTATCACTGGACATTTCCTATCACCATGTCAGCTCTACAGCAATCCTATGAATCTTTAGTGATCACCCAGCTTCTCTGGGAGAGCCTGCTGGGTTATCTGAATCTCTTTCTGACTATGTAGGAGGGAGGAGAGGCTTGGAACTCTTTCTACTCTGTCTCGATGTTATCCCCCTGAGATGAGCTTCAACCACTGTTGTAGACATCCCTTCCCGGGGGGAGGGGGGCCTACCCTTCATCATAAGGTCCCAGTGACAAACTAAAGCTCAATTCCACCCAGAATTCACCCTGGAGAACCGATGAGTTTATTGGGCTTACATAAAGAGCGTGGGTGAGAGGTTACTGATGGGAGCATGGCTGATCCCAAAGACCACACTAAAAAGTCTTCACCGAGTGTGGATAATGGCTTCCCCATAGTTACAGAGATGGACTCTCCTTCCCTGGTCTTCCTGAGACCATAGAGGCAACAGCACAAAGGCCCATCACCAGAACAGCTATCCTCCCCCAGTTCTCAGAGACAGGTGACCTTCCCTCTGCTGGCTGGGTCATTGAAGAAGGGAGAAAGTCTTGAGAGGGAATTAGGTTCTTGAATTTAACTTGACTAAAGACCAAGTCAGCCAGCCCCAGCTCAAAGAGTTAGACTTCACTGGAAAGTTTGAGCCACGCGTCCACCACACCCCCACCACACTCAGCCATCGAGATGGAGCCTTAGACTGAGGAGATGAAGGAAGAGGTACATTTATGAGCTTCACTACACATTTCTACTGTACTTCAGTGGCAATTATCTGATCCTTATGGTATGTGGGGAAGGCAGATGTGCAAAACAAAAGTCAGAGCATCAGCTAAATCCATTGTAAAGGCATGGATAATATACAAAGCACCCACAGAAGTGGGAGAAATAAGCTATGTATATGGTGTTCTACAACAGTGTAGCAATAGTATCATCAACTTAGCACCTTAAACCAAGACATTCTCTCAGCTCCTACTGCTCAAAATCTAGGTGTGGTCCACCTGGGATTTCTGCAAGGTTTCTGTCAAGGTACTGCCAGAGCTGAGTCTCCATCTGAGCAGTCAGCTGTGGAAGGATCATTTCCAGTCTGATGCGCTGTGTAAATTGAACTTGAACATTTACTTTCTTGTTGGGGATTGGAATAAGGGCCTCTGTCCTTGACGGCTAACAGTCAGAGAGGCCACCCTCAGTTCTCTGCCACGTGGGCCTCCACAGCATGGCTGCGTTCTTCACCAAAGCTGTCGAGGAAGAGAGGACATCAGCAAGACAGACATCACAGTCCTGGGTATGTAACCAGAGAAGTGACACCATGTTTTATTGGTTAGAAGTCGGATGCCCTGCCCTCAACCAAGAAGAAGAAATGATATAAGGATGTAAACACCAGGAGATGGCATCCCGTGAGCCGTCTTAGCGTCCAACACCATACTGCCATAGCTAATCTTGAGTGTCGGCTCGACGGGATTTAGAATCGCCATGAGAACAAACTCCTGGGCATCTCTGTGAGGGAGTTTCTAGATTGGCTTAGCTCAAGTGGGAAGGCTCAGCCTAGGTGGGCGATACCACGACACAGGCTGGAGTTCCAGATAGAAGAGAAAAGAGAGAGCAAGACTGTGGACACACGTGACCAGCCGCCTCCCGCGCCGGCCACCAGACTCCCCATCAAAACAGACTGAGCCGAAATAAATCCTTCCACTGTCAAGCTGCTTTTTCGGGTGTTCTGCCACAGCAATGAGAGAAGGGACTCACGCTCACACTGTGTGAGGTGGGTGGGTCCCAGACAATACCTCTCAGCGCTGGGTTGGAAGATTATAGGCCCAGAAACTGCTCGGTGGCCCTAGAGAGCCTAGTTCTCTCACCATTGCACTAGATGAGGCAAAAATAAGTGTTTGTGAGTGACAACATTGGCATTCAGGAGGGAAAAGAATTCTGGTCAGCCCCCAAGAGAAAGAAGATAGTGTTTTACACAGAACAAAACCAAGAAAGACAATTGTCAGATCTCGTCTCAGTAGCAGTGACACTACAGACCTCTGAGCAGAACTGAAATGGCAAAAGCCACCAGTGCTAATGTCTCACCAAGCCTCCGCAGGAATGTGCCGGGAATGTCAAGGGCACTGGGAGAACGGGAGATGATCTAACGCCCGAAACTCCCCAGTACTATAGTCACACAAATGATAAGTAGGTGGCAAGAAAAAAAGAATCAACTCTTGCTAATAACAGGGGAAAGAAACTATTGGAACTGAGCCCTGCAGAAACGCCTTTCATCCCAGACCCTAGACAGCTTTAAGAGCAATAGATCCTTTTTTTTTAAAGGGGGGAGGGGAAAACATGGATTTTATGCCCTTCAGCAAAAGTAGCACCTAATGCTCTCACAGATAAGGAAATGAAACCTGGGTGCTATTATTTTTTTGGAAGAACATTTCATGATTCTTTCTAAGGTTCTAGCTCCATGATTAGCTGAGCCTAGGGAAACACAGGGTATGGACACATTTCTTTCTTTATTTCAAAAGAGATAGCAGTTCTCACCCTGCTCAAGAATGTAGAATGGATGGTTAGAACCCAGCCTGAAAGAAAACCACCATGGGCAAATTGCTGATGCAGAGGGCTTTAGCAAAGAGACGTACAAGTCATGCATCCCAGTAAGTCCAAGGCTGTACACACAAGATTTGGGGGGACAGTAAGGAATCAGCAACACAACTGATGGACAAGGAAGGGGGTGTGAACCTCAGAAACAATAGCAGCGGTGTGCAGGAGACAGGTGTTTGGCAACAGATAAAGCAACTAGCAAGTTGATTGTTCTTGTTTTCTGTTTAATGAGATTCTGTACCAAGAAATGGTTCCAAAACCACGTGGCCCAGGGAACAGTGTCGAAGTGTGATGACAGTTTGGTTTGTTTGTCATGGCAGGGGCTCAGCCACTGGACAGGAGCAATAAGCCATCTCTAAAGTCATCCTTGGCACAAGAAGATGACATTCAGAAAATTCAGTGTCCAGCAGGAGTCGAGCCCTTTTCTGCGGTCACATGCTGCTGTTGGGGTGCCTGCAACTTCAAGGCTCTCTGCTTACTGTGTTCTCTCCAAGTCCAAGACCAGGAGCTCCTTTCTAAATATGGGATGGGCACGTGTTCCCGGCTGGCGGACTCAATATGCCCTGTCTTACCTTTCCCACCTTCTTGCTGTTTTATGTAAAATAGGATTCCTTGTGGCACTGTGAATCTACTCCCACTTGGTTGTGCCCCTGGGAGCCTGTGTCTCCCAGGGACATTAGCAGCCTCCTATGAACTTGGTATTCAGACGTTCCATTCCCTCCCACCCCTCAAGCCCATTCCACTTCATCCCTTCTCTTTTTCTCCTCCATCAAGATGTGCCAGCATTGTCCTCAGCAGCTGAAAATGGGGACAGTATTCAGTCCTCAGTTTCCCTCAAACTCGTGAGCGTCATCGGGAGAGTTAGCAGTGCCGAAGCAGAAAGCGTCTGGAGCTCATTCCCCTCAGACGTGGCTGTGCCACATCTACAGAAGGGTCCATGTGAGTCTGAGTGACAATTGCCGCCGTGTGTATAGCAAGTACCCCCCAGTGGAGGAAAATGCACACTGTTTATTCACTCATTTCCACCAGCAGTGACCTCTGAGCTAGCAGGTATGCCAACCCCAAAGAAACATCCCTGAAGGTTGGACAGACAGAGGATTGGGAGAGGGGAAGCTGAGTGCAGTCGAACTGGTTCCTCCTGTATTCAGCCCTGGCCCAGGGGCTGTCTCCACGTGCTCAAGTCCTATTTGTCACCCGGGATCCACCTCCCAGGGACAGTTCTAGAGTCGCCTCGCATGCCTCTGAGCACCCTCACCATGTCACTACCTCAGTATCTAATATATATATATATATAAAATATGTCAGAACCATACATACAAGTCATGTCTCTTTATTATCTTGAATAACTTAAGTATTTAAGTTCTGTGCCTTGCACGTAGTAGGTGCTCAATAAACCCTTTGGGAAATGAATGACCTGACATTTAATACTCTGTGTGTGTGTGTGTGTGTGTGTGTGTGTGTGTGTGTGTGTGTGTCCCACAAAGGTTTCCTAGTGAGATCTGAGCTTGCTTTACCCAGCAGGGCTGCATTAGAGGATTGCTTGACCACGTGTGTGGTTATCAGGTGATTGGAAGATTCTGCACTTGGCTGTGCTAGGGGGAGGTCTTTGCTCCACCTCTTGGCATTCCTATAAAAGACCCGTTAAAAGAGACAGAAGGGGCCGGTGGATAAGGATCTAGGCCTTCCCAAGGCTCTCCTGTGTTTCTATCTGTTTCTCTCCCCTCTATCCTTCTATCTAAATATCTTATCCCTCACTCCTCAAGTGTACCCTGGGGTAAAATGTGGGAGCCAGTCTCCCAGTTGGGCTCCCACATGTGTGCACATGGATATATATATATATATATATATATATATATATATATATATGTGTGTGTGTGTGTGTGTGTGTGTGTGTGTGTGTGTGTGTGTGTGTGTGTGTGTACACAGGGGTGCGTGTATGTGGAGGCTAGTGTTCAACATTGGGCATCTTCTGCCTTCACTCTCCACCTTATTTTTTTGAGACAGGGTCTCTCCTGAACCTGGAGCCCACTGATCAACTAGACCAACTTATCAGCAAACCCCACAGACCCATTTGTCTGCCCCTCCCAGTTTTGGAGATACCACCATGACCAGATTTTACATGGATACTGGGGATTCGAACTCAGATGCCCCTGCTTGCAAGTACTTTAACCACTGAATTACCTCCCTGGCCCCACTTATTATTTATTTCAAATACACTGACAGAGCAGTGTCCTTGTGCTCAGGAGAGCTACCGCGCTGCTAAATACCTTGAGGTATAGTGTGGTGTTTTTTTCTAGAGATCAGATATACCCAAAGTTCAGCCCATTTCACTTTTGAAAAAGAGGTTGTTTGGTGGCAGCTACTTCCTGAAGGAGATAAATCTGGGTCATGGTAGTAATTAGCACTGTACTCTCTTGAGTGTGTGGTTGTCCTCGGAGTGGTTTCATAAGTCCTCTGGGACAGGACCCGATGTTTTGTTACCTGCATAGCCTACCTGGCAAGCATCTCTGCAAACGCCACACACGTGTATTAGGCACTGACTGTGTGCGCCATCTGTCTGCCTCGAAGCCCTCCATTCCAGGGAATCCTTTTAATCAGTGCGGGCTGTTTATCCCCAGACTCAACACACGCCTTGGCCTGCTTCTTCAATTCATCCCAACCATCAGGTTCATTTTCTCTTGCCTAGAGTCAGTCCTTTTTATCAGAAAGAAATAAAAAATATTTGGGCCGGCTGGTTCACAGTTTGGAACATAAGATTTCAATGGTTCTGCTTTAGACACACCCTGATGGTGCCTGGCTAGGTTGGCTGTACAGAGCAACACTCTTAGACCTGAGAAGCAGCCTTCCACACCCAGCTCCTCTGCCCCATCCCCTGTAAGAATCCATTCACTGTGGTTCACTCACAGAGGGTTACTGTGGTTTTTCCAGGAAACTGCAGACTGACCAGGGAGGCAAATTTTCCTGGGTACAGAATTAAGGAGCATTTATACAGAAATAGACATGAGTAACAGTGTATAAGCCATATTAATGGCCTAACGACGATACCTGGGCCTTCCCAACAACCACCGAGTGTTGCCAGACTAAGGTTGCTTTGTGTTGGCCTAGCATGAGCGGTAGATATAGCTCTTTTTGTCTTGGCAGTGAGGCAGGCGCGCCTGCCAGACTTACCCTAAAGGAAAGGACCAAGAGACAATAAGTCCATTCACACGCACTAGCAATTTCTTCCAGTGGGGACTTTTCAATTTCTAAATTGATACAAACTTTAAAACCACCCTCTTTTAAGGAGAGTGTATATTTTCCAAAAGAAGTTATATTTAGCAACGTAATGTTGCCAGATTATTGTTGTTGGAAAGGGGGGGAAGGGAGGGGGCGGGAGCAACTCCCTCTCCAGTGGGTAAATACACATTGTAGCTGACTGGCCTCATTCAGTCAGCTGTTTCATTTTGCAGGGCTTCAGCGCTGACCTAAAGCTTCCGCCGCGGCCAGCTTGTCCCCACCCACTTTTAATTCTGTCGCTGTCTTTGTTGAGCGGAGGTTCCAAGAGCAAACCTTACACCCCGCCACAACCCAAACCAAAAAGTCCTTGTAGGACCACCTATAAACAGCAAAACGTGCTTGTTAACACGAAGTTCACTATTTGCCTGCGTTGGCAGAGCCAAGAGAGGAGAAGGTGGGGATTTCTCACTGGAGGAGCAGGAGTTCCAGGTGAACCACTGGGCAGTGCTCAGCTACTCTCCTGAACTGGAAGAGCCCCCTGCTGGCCGGAGGAGGAACAGGCCCGAGGGCCGGATGGCAGTCATCTTGAGACTTGCCACTTCCCCTGGTCCATCATGCAGACAGACGTGCACCAGACAGAGGTCGGGGCTTGCCGTGTGCCGGGCAGTGTTCTAGCTCCGGAGATAGTATGTTAAACGAGGGAGACGGACAAGGCCTTTGCCTTGTAGGAATTACACTGCAAAAAAAAAGGGGGGGGCAGATAATCAAAATAGAATGTCAAGTGCAGGTGGACCCTGTGAGGAGCGCTGAGAAAGGAAGAAGGGGAGGCTAGGGGGAGAGAGGGCTGCCTGAGCCAGGAGGCTGGACCTTGGAACCGAAAGGAGGCAGAGGGCGGACTGTGGGCGTGGTTTGTGGGCAGGGGGCGGGGCCAGCGTGAGACCCCCCCTGAAGCAGGCGGGAGAGGGATTTCGGTGCTGAGGTGGGAGTTAGAGCCTCTGGAAAGCAGCAGGTTTGATTTTTCACGTGAATCCAGGGCACAGCTTGACCCAGGAAGTGACTAAATCTCTTTTACATTGTAAAAGGCCATGCTGTGTGCCACAGGGAACAATAACTGCCGATGTGCAATCTGAGAGGTCCGTTAAGAAGCTATTGATGTGGTGTGTCATTAATTCATTAATGAATCTTACCAGAGAGGTTCAAAGAAGAGTAAGATAGGCCCTCTGCCCTCGGAGAGATTTCAGGCAACTTGAGGAAATAAGGTAGACTCACCTCAAGTTAAACTTTCAAGAGAGGAACTGGAAAGCTGGCTCAATGGTTAAGATCGCCTGCCTCTCTTTCAGAGGGCCTTGAGTTCAGGTCCCAGTACCCATGGGCAGTTCACAACCATCTGTAACTCCAGCTTCAGGGGGTGCGAGGCCCTCTTCTGACCTCCAAAGGTGCCTGTACTCATATGCACAGACCCCTCATACACATACACATAAATATAAAAATATATCTTTTAAAAGTGTTTAGGTTGATTTCATTTACGTGTATGACTATTTTGCCTGCATACATGTATGTGCACCACATGGGTGCTTGGTGCTGTCAGAAGTCAGAGGAGGGTGTAGGATCCCCTGGAACAGGAGTTACAAGGTGGTTTGGATGGTTGTGAGCCACCATATGGGTGATGAGAATTGAACCTGTGTCCTCTAGAAAAGCAACAAGTGCTCTAAGCCACTGAGCCACCTCTGCAGCCCCTAAGAGTAAATCTTTAAAAAAAAAAATTTCAGAATAGACGGATGCTTCAAAATGCCAGATGGAGACACAGAGAGAGAGAGGATTTGCAGATAGACTGAGAAGCCCATGAGTGCTCTCTCCAAAGGCCGGTGACGAAGAACCAGGAGAGAAATGGCTGGAAGAAGAACCCAGGGGTAGAGTCCTTGCCTAGCATGTGGCAGGCCCTGGGTTTGATCCCCCATACCTAAGAGGGGAAAAGAAAGAAAGAGAGTCAAAAACAGAAGAGTCGCTGCGTTGGGAAGATGGAGAAGTCACTGCTTTGCCAAGTCAGGGGTGGAGTCTGAGGACTGATCACAAACCCAGCTTATCCCCAGGGCCTCTGCTAAGTGTCTGTCCTGATACTGTGTTGTGCCCCCCAGTCCCTTTTAGGACTCTGGTTTTGTTCCCACCCCCCAGGGGAGGTTGAAGGTTGTCAGTCCCCTACTGCCTGCCTAGGGAAAGCCACCTTGCCCTAGGCCACGCCTCCTTCCCTGGGGGAGCCCACAGCCATGGCTGCCTGGCTTGCTAATAAAGACCTACTACTTTGCTCCAAATAAGGCCAACTCAGAAGAGCCATCCACCTCCAGTGATCGCCTTAGTGACAGTGTGATGCAATATAGCTAACCCTCATACTGCACATCCTGTTCCTTTCTTTTCCCTCCTTCACACACTGATGCTAATAGGAAGAAAAGGACCCTGGGAAACTGCCCTGGTAAAGCCCAAGCCAGAGTCTCCTTCCCCAGGAACCCAGTAGCTGCAGGGTATTTACATAAAAGTCAATGAAAACAAAAATGATAATATTACAAAGGTTCAATATAAAAGCTGCATATAGCAGATAAATAAAAATAGCCTTATAAATGGAAATTCTGAAATTTCAAAAAGTCAGACGGGAGGACAGTCAGTGGGGATGGATTTTTCCATAGGACGTGAACCTATCAGACTCACAAGGCTGAGACGGGCCATTTACCTTCGTAGAGAGTGTGGTGCTGGGTTTCATAACCCGATTGATGGCTGCTGTCACCCATATAACCTCACAATCTCTTTTAATCTCCACACTTCTGTCACTTTGCTGCCACCTGGAGAAAGAATTAATTTCATTTGTCTCCCAAGGAGATGAATGCATCCAATCAGACCCCAGCACACAAAGGGACACCATTCTCTCGTCCATCAGCTCAGACTAGCTTCAGCGGCCAGGCCAGGTCCTCCCTCGGCCTTCATCTCAGAGGTGAACAGCCATCCCCCGGCCCCACCTGCACTCTCCTCCCAACCGAGGGGTGTGAGCGGAGGGCTAAAGTAGCTCCCACTCGCAAGAAGAAAAGAGAAACTGAAG